TCTCTGTGTTTCTAGCTTCTAGAAGCCATCCGTGTTCCTTGGCTCTTGGACACCTTCCTCCATCTCCAAAGTCAGCAACGTTACATCTCTCTGGCTGTTCTTCTGTAGCCTCATCTCCCTCTCCCTCTCTTCTGCTGCACCCTTTCAGTTTTAAGGACTGACCCTGTGATTATGTCGAGCCCATTGGGACAATCCAGGATAGTCTCCCCATCTCAAGGTTCTTGATTAACTATGTCTGCAAAGCCCCTTTTGCCATGTAAGGTCGTATCCTCACAGGCTCTGGATATTAGGATTGGACATATTGGGTGTGTGTATGGGGTGCTATTCTGCATAGCACAAGTTCCGTAACCAATTTAAGAGACCATAAATTATTCTTCTCTGTATCTCTCATGATGCCTAGCGCAGAATAATACTTGAATTGGTGGTTTTCTAATGAGATAAATAATAGTAATCTTAAATTCCAAATAATGTGTGATCCTGACCTCTGAAAAGCATCTTAGCTAATATCAACCTTTTGTATCAACCTTCTCATCACTTTCTCTACGTCCATTATTTTTTTAGTTTTCAAAGGGGTGATGTGGAGGAAGCTTTCCAATGTTTAGGCATCTGATTCTTAAATCCTCCTTCCTTTGACAGGAGCTATGCAGTGAATTCCGTCACTATGTGAGGGATGGACGACTCCCCTGCACCAGAGAAAATGACCCTATCGAAGGTCTAGATGGGAAAATCCATGGCAACACCTGTTCCATGTGTGAGGCCTTCTTGTGAGTAGAGATGCAGCCACTGTTGCTACTAAGTGTAGGGGAAGATAAGCCTTGGGTGGGCGAAGAGGATGATACCACAGGCTTCTTCCAGAGGTAGATGATAAAGGCTGTCTTTGCATTGAGTTTGGAGATTTACTATTGTAAAGCCATATACTCAGCACATTTCTTTTTAGTGTTCTCCAGTGTTCTGAAAGCTACTTGAATCACCATCAAGAAAGAACCATGTGCTAAGGACAAATTTCCCCAGAGTTAGTGACCTAGAAAGACTAGGACTTCTGTTCTCTGCATTTATAAGTCAATATCATGAATAATCCAAAGGTGTAATCATTGGGTGCTAACAAATTGAAAATTTGTTAACATTTATTAATATCCTAGTTGCTTTCTGGGGAGAAGGACAATATCTCTATTTTCCAAAAATAATACAGTGATGAATATGTATTTACTGGTTTGCGATGGCTTATGTGTCTTATTCTTTAAGAAACATAA